CCTGGCAACTGTTCGGCTTCAACACTGTTGTTGCTTTACCAACTGCAACAAAGGATACTGTTCTGAAGTGGGAACGTATTTAATCATTGGTTCGAGGTGGCACACATCGCGATACACATATTAATGCCGCGATTTTCTTCATCTAATGGCGTTATATTACATTACTTATTGCTTCAGTCGTATCATTGCACTGCAATATCCGTGAAACAGACTGAGCAGCCCCAGCCTCTGAGGGTCTCCGGAATCTCCGAACAATATTGGTCTGTCGGTTGGACTGTCGGTGCAGCAGCCACCAGGTCTACAGCAGCCACCAGGTCTGGACCAGTTCATCATGGCGCCTCGGCCTACCGAGCCACGAGTCAGTCCTGCACAGGGGGCTGCGGTGGTAGTCCCCGCTTGTGTCTGAGAGAGTGCGCACTTGTGTCGGAGGGTGTCTGAGCATACACGCAAGAAACCTATCTCGCAAACCGGCAATGTGCAACAGCAGTCTCCATGTGTGCACCCCGCATGTGTCCTGCGTACCCGGGCGGGAATGTCCAGGGACACGTGCGCACGGTCCACGCAACAGTAATCCGAGAGTGGGCACTGTCGGCCCGAACGTATTGAAGGCTCGTCCTATTCAATGCACAGTGCCTAGTCATCAGCTTTTAGAGCCGCATTTCCAAGACCGACGACTACGCCTGACGCAGAGAGAAAGGCCTGAGCGGTTGCAGGACATACCAGGGACCCTGCCAAGTTCGTGGCAACCCGCATTCAAGCGCCCTCTTCTGGTCTGAGTGCTCTATAAGGTTCTAAACGGTGAAATTAAACGGCTCATAATATCTGATAAACGCTTCGAAATATTATCCAGTGTTACTGATTATGCCTCCTGACACAATCGACTTTGTTCGCACTGCTTTTGAGTATCACAGTGGAAAACTGTGTGAAACCTGCCCTGAAGCTCTGATAAAATTATGAACCTAAGTGCTAAAAAATGTCAACGGGGGCGTAACGAATGGGTACAACTGCCTGTATATGGCTGGGCATGGTTACACCTGCACACCATGGATAGCGAGTGGATTGGGGAAGGACATCGTACATTTGCAAGCCTCTGCATTCTGAGCCCAGCAGGCTCCTCTGCTGAACAAATCATGCATCGCAAACCTGGTATCTTTAAGCAGGAGGATGTGGTTATGTCAATAGCACTTTCACTTAAAATTCAACTAGTCTGACTGTCCCATGCCGTGCAATCCAATCTGTAATGCCTCTGTGCGCGGCGGTGTGTTGGATAACCTGATAATGCAACATGTAGTACTCTTAATATTCCAGTGCACGTTACTGTGTGTTCTCTGTTGCTGGAGCGCAGTTACTGTAGAGTTATATATGTGACACATCCTTCGAAAGTAATGGCAGCTCAGCCTGACAGTAATGTGAGTCAA